TCTTTTTTTTAGATATTTCATAGCAAGTCATTGTTATTTGAAATATAGGTTACGTTACGTTACGGTGACGTAACGTATTGGTTACGTTACGTTAAGGTGACGTTTAAAAATATCAACTGAATAAGTTTTTCTTCTTACACTATTAATAAATATATAAGTTAGTTAATTATTTAACCCTAAACTTTTGTTTAAACTCTTTCAAGAAATTTATTGATGATAAAGTAAAAAAATGTCATTATAATAGATCTTTAGGCAATTCTCTTTTTCGGAAAAATCAAAACAAAACAACATATGTATGTATACATTTTTATTTACTTCCTACTTTACTTTTATAAATTCTTTCACTGTCATGAATCATTGAGATTTTATCTTCATTGTAATATAAATAAATCGTGCTTATTTTGCCAATTTTCACAGCTAACCTGGAAATATATCGGTAACAAATGTGTCTAGATTATATGTTATTACAAATTGGTATTTTCTCGATGTAATAATAAAAGAAAAATGTAAGATGAATCGTGCAATTACATATTTATTCAAGATTAAAATTTCAAAAACTTATATCGCGCTTTAAAAGAAATATATCATTAAATAAAGATATTAATAATAATAGTAAAATATTTAACAAATGAGATCTGAGACATTCGCGAGTATTCATTTAAATAAAACTAATATTTTCTGCACAGTGACCGCAACCACGGGAGTATATAGTTTTAAAATTATAAAAAAACATGTAGTATATCCGAAAATATAGGTTTTATTTATTTTCAACAAAATTAAGGTTTAGAAGTTGCGTGTTTTGTGCGTATTATGATATCCTATATCTTACATCAACCTTTTAGTTCATCAAAAATGTTTAACGATAGGTAAATATAACATTTTTATTTTTATGACAAGAAGATATTCTAATTTACCAAATGCATAGTAATTTTGCTACAACATTAACAGGAGTATAAGTTCTTTCATCCTGGCAAGTACCAATGTCATTTTTCCGAGTCATATGTACTTTCTAAGAATATTTAGACATCACTGATTAATGCATTCCCAAAAGAGGGTTTATTTATTTATTTATTTATTTGATCCACCAACATTTGTTCACATCATCACATACGTAAGAAAAATATACAATACACATAAAACTAGGTGTGACAAACATTTACAGGTAGATACATCATGCTTAATTTCTATCTAAATTAGACCTCCCAGCGCGAGCCGCAGTAAAAACAAAAGCAAAAATTTAAAAAAAAGGTAAATTTACAAAATAAAATAAAAATTTAAATAAACAATGAAAAGATTAAATTAAAAACTAAAAGTGAACCATAAGACGTACAAATACAATTTTATGGTGACCTAGGTAAGGTGTTTAACAGTGACCGAATTATTTTCGTTGAGTCGTCATAAATATCAAACACGTCGCTGTAATCATTAACCAGCTTGCTAAGTCTGGAAACTGGGGAGTTTGATCCGAACACAGTTTTTCGAGGTGGTAGATATAAGGGATTATATATTTTGTAACGAGGAGGCCTTATTGGTACACGTATGTTAAATTTATGTAATAGCTGAGGGCAATCAATCTCATTAGTGAAAACTTTGGAAGCAAAGAACAGGTCCAAGCGCTTTCTACGTTCATCTAAGGAAATCATCCCGAAGTACTTCAGTCGTTCAAGATAAGACCGCATTTTCCTTTTTGACTTTGAGGGTTGATGTCAGGCAAGCGGCGGATCGTAAAATACAATGAGCCAAAACTATTCACAACATGTAAGGCAGACCCTGGCTAATGCTGGGAAATTGCCAGGTAGAAGAAGAAGTTCTTTAATATGAATAAGAAGTGAACATCTTAAACGAAACAATTAGTAAGGTCTGGGTCAATATATTGTATGATGTAACCGAATTAATCTGAATGAAGATCGTAATAGTTCTTGAGGTATTTTTAAATTGATCAATAGATGATGTCACATTTTCTAATTTGGATTTTATTAAATATTAATACTTATTATACATCTTTTATTGAATTACTTATACATATTATTAATAGTTTATTTCTTATGTGTGATCTTATTATCATCATCATCAGCCTATCAGAGAGCCTGCTGAGTAAAACCCTCTTCTCACATGAAGATAGTGATCTTATCACGTAATCTGAATTAATTGGAATGGTTTTGTGTTTATATCTAAATGCAACCACATAGGTAACTTTTTAATTCATTGTCACTAATCAGTAGTAAATTTCTTTATATTAAACGATCTGTATGTACAATTTGCTCATTATATAGGTACTTAGGTGATTCCGAAATATAGTATCTTTTTTTTGGGTAAAAAACGCATCCTGGCTTTCGCGATCAGTATACAAAATGCAAGAAAATGGGAAGGTATTGTGAGGTTTTTTTTTTTTTTTTTTTTTTTTATGTGAAAGGTGGCAAACGAGCAAACGGCCCACTTGATGGAAGGTGGTTACCGTCGCCCATGGACATCCGCAACATTTTGTTGCGGATGCGTTGCCAACCTTGTTTTTTGGGGATAGGGAGGGGTGGGAATAAGGAAATGAAAGGAAAGGGTAGGAATAGGGAAAGGGCAACCGGCTCTCTCACTCATCAGACGAAACGCAGCCAGTAAAAGCTACTTCACGCCGATCTTCTATGAGAGGGTAGTACTTCCCCGGTCGAGCCAGCCCATGTTCGAGCTGTAGTAACTCACCACAGCTAGGCTCTACCACCTTGTACCTTGAGGTTGGCTTTCAATGGAAAATATCTTCCGAAAAGCTATTTAATTTTGTATTACGACCGTGGAACGTGTTCCTGATTGGGGGAAGAGATATCATATGTAAGGCATGGCGTATTGAATAGAGCTAGACTTGTATATTGTTAGCAACTAGACGAACAAGTCTTAGGAAATATTTTTCTTAAATGTGTAGACAAGATTTTATAGTAGTATCTTATTTATTAAGATTTTGTTCATATATTTGATGATGGACATATTATTTTTCGTTATTTTATTAGCTTGATAGTTAAAATAATTGAAATATGATTCATGGTTTTTTATGAATAAGTTATACTAAAGTGCCATCTATTGAAATTTTCAGTCAACTTCCTTTTTCCAAATGCATACTTAGTATCAAAGATGGCGCTGAGAAAACTATAAGTTGAAAAGGTTAAGAAACGTTTTCAAATGTTACCTATACCTAGTCTTAGTAATACATAACAGATGGCGCTATTAAAACAGTAATCTAAGATTATAAGTAAGATGAGGTTTCAAAGTGCAATGCAGTGATTTTGCCTATTTTTTTAGTGTTCTATAAAACATAGGGATCTCAAAATTAAAACCAAAGGTTTAGAATAGAACTGATTCATTTTTATATCTCCACTATCCAATAAAACTGTTATTTTGATGTATTTTACTTTAATACTTATACATACTTTATATCCATAATTTTAAAATTTCAATAAATAGAATCGCAAGGAACTGATAGTCATCAAAGAGATTAGAATATAAAATTATTCGAAACTAGTAAACCTGGCGAACTCCGTTTCGCCTCCAGAAGGCTTTGTTTTATGTAACATTTCGTTTGGTGATTAAAAGCTGAAGATTTTTTTTTGTTTTATATTTGAAAAGGAACATTTTTATTTCATTTCACAACGGTAATGAATTCATTTCGATTACAAAAATGAAGTGTTATTTAGTTGAACTTCTCTAAGTAAATGAAAGTGAATCCAAAGTAGATACCGAATCGAAACGTTATACGTGTCCGCAAATTATCCGTTTCATTGAAGTGCGCCTTTGTAAATCATATTTTTTGTTTTTTGGTCTAACGTTAACACAAATAAAGCGTATGGTTTCCAAACTTATAAACCTGCAAAATATAACTGCCCATGTGAAAAACAATGATTTTCTAAATTTATCCCGCAAATACTAAATTACATATCTGTCATTATACGTCAATTGCATAGCTGTCAATTGTGTTTCATTATTCCACGTTTTATAGTGACTGACGTTTCATGTCAAGTCCCACGGGAATGCTGTTGAACGGGATAAAAAGTATCCTATTGCAATTTCCTGGCTCTAAACTACCTCCCTGCCAATTTTCAGCTAAATCGGTTCAGCCGTTCTTGAGTTATAAGTGCAGTCACTAACACGACTTTCTTTTATATATATAGATTTATTAAAAATAAATAAATGAAAATTAACACTCCAGAGAAAATAAAATCAGTTAATCTAAAAGGTCTTTGATTTGTTATAAAAGTGATTTATATAATTGAAAATGAAGACTTACAATTTACATAGATGCATTACAAATTATTACTTACAATGTGATTTTTATTAACTAAAAATCATAATACGCCTCCTCAAATAAATTTAGACATTTAAATATGTATATGTTCTGATCTTTATATGGGAACATGTTGCTCCATAGCCATCACACATACAAACTTTTAGTGGTTTTAACTATTGAAATAATGAGGTTACGAGGTATAACTTGAAGTTATTCCTAGGTATAGTTGTGGGTTCCGTATTTTCAGTTTAGTGTCCTTTCAGATCCGGCAAAATCATACATGTTTTATACGCAAATATTCTCCTGAATTTCAAGATAATATTTATCTCTTCATTCTCATTTCGTCTGGCCCCTAATCACGGTTGTTGCAAAATAACCGAAGCGCCGGGAATATGTAGTTTAAAATAATAAATAACGAGACAGTACATACATAGTTTTATTTAAATGAATACTCACGCTATTCAATATCATTAATATTTATCGATTTGAAAGTGAAAAAAAGAAATAAATACTAATCTTAAAAACATTCATCCTAAAAAAGTATATCTCCAGTTTGTCTCATACTTTTTTAATTGCGAGTGATTTATAAACAATAGTTATTTAAATGAAACTAATATTTTTCTGATGTACTACGCTTATGTAGTTTTTTTTTACAAAAATGAAGCACTTTTTACAAAAATAAAACAAAACTCACGAAAGTTTTCGATCTCATTGAGCAGTAGTTATACTAATACTAACCTTTGGTCAATCTTCGTCTCGGTGAATTAGCCGGCGTGCTTTGTTCTGAACTGTGGTCAGCGTACTCAGTGCCGCTACTGTCTTGTCCTGGCGCCAGTGATAGTATTGTACCTGCTGGACACCTCTCTCTACTCCTGCTTCGTTGCCAGCGACTCTGATAAAGAAAAAGTATTATTATTCGGTAACTAACATAAAACCTTGGTTGGTTAATGAGATCTAAGATTTTTGCGAGTATTCATTTAAATGAAACTTATAATATTCGGATTTATTTTTGATAAAAAACTACATATTTCCGACGTTTCGGCTACTTTATATGTAGTTGTCTGTTGAGACACATCTCGGCTACCCGTGATCACGGTTGCTGTAAAGTAGTCGAAACGTCGTCGGAAGTATGTTGTTTTTTTATCAAAAATAAAATCACGTAGTAGATCCGAAAAATATTAGTTTTATCCATGGTTGAATGTTTAAAATATGACCTTCATCCGTGCAAATACTTGCACAGTATATTCTACCAGTGACATGGTGAATGGGCGAAATATAAAACCTTACAATGAATTCGAAATTGACAATTATTTTGATTGGTATTTTATAAGGCTGAATTGTTTTTATACTTCAATGAATGTCTAAAAATAAATGACGCTTATGAACAGTGGTAATACGGTTATTTGCTGATACTTTTCATGAAATATTCGCTATGTACTGTATGTAATACTTGCTATGTACTTTATGCAAAGAGAAAGTTCATGAGACTCATAATTTCAATTTGAATTAAACTAATTTTAAAAGGACGACATTCGTATGTAATTTTTCAATTTCTAACGATATGATATTGGTGAAATAATAAGTTTTGATTATAAAATTTACTTTTTAATTTATTTTCAAATACATAAATTGTAAATCACAACCATTTTTTATGTAAAATTAATATAATATACACGTTTTATAGAAACGTATTTCGTATTTTTGTGTCAAATTTAATTCGCGCCATTAACTTGAAGTTATATACCAAAATGGTGGCCATAATGTAATACAATTTCTTCAGAAACTCGGTGTGCTCAGGTAAAGATGTTATCGTTCCTTTTAATGTTGGAAATGGATTCTCACCCGAGAGATTCAAACGATTTTTCCATTAAAAGCAAGAAAAAATAAATTTACGATTACGTAGAAAATTTGTTAAAGAAAAACTGTTGTACAATACATATTATATTATTCTACATGTTCACTTACTGCACAAACAAAGCAGATTTATTAAATAAATATATACATTCTATATAGTGTTACAAGTAGCGCTATCAATGCCGTACTAATTATAATAATATACTATAATCCTTAGAATTATTTTTATGACTGATTATAATTTTCTATATATATAAAAATGGATTGCTGTTCCTTAGTCTCGCTAAAACTCGAGAACAGCTGAACGGATTTATCTTATCTTAGTCTTGAAATGTTTGTGGAGGTTCAGGGAAGGTATAAAAGCTGAAAAAATTGATTCATTACTGGGAAAACCATAAAAAAGCCCTTTTCTATTTCCCATACAAAGATTTTTTTTGACATTAGATTTGACAACTAACTAATATGTCAATCATTCTGTCGCACTTCAAAACATAAATAAATAAAAAAACGTAATAGATATTTCGTGATTATAGGGCGATACGAAGTTCGCCAGGTCTTCTAGTTAATTATAATGCTGAACCACTGTATTTGAAAACTATAACTGGCTTCAGCAGTTTTGTAGGCAGTTTCTGGAAGTAACACTGAACATTAAAAATTATGTCTGAAACTTTATCTAAAACACTGTATAGCTAAAAATTTATTTATAAGTAAATATATATACATGTTTTATGCTTTCACCGTAGTTCGTTGTAAACACATATGATTTATTTTATTTCTTTATGCTGTAAATACCTTATTAGGTATTTCTAATAATATTCAAAGTAGAATCAAATTTCACCAAGATATATTTTATTCCTTAACAATAAATTCAGAAGACATATTCAAAGGCGTTAAAAGTTTTTCATACGCCTATTCGGTTCAAGCATAAATTACATGTTACGTTACAAATAGGTGCTTAAGAATAATTTGTATAAGCATTACCAAAGAAAGTATAAAATAGAAAAGTCTTATCTTTTCTAGAAAGAGCTTTTCACTGAGTTACCAAAAGATATATTTAATCAATGTTATACCATAATAAATGGAAAAAAAATCAACTATATTGAATTATTTTCATAATTAGGTTAGGTGGTAAATTCTAGCTGTTGTCAAGTTCCTACAGCTTGAACATGTGCTGGCTTGACCGGGAAAGTACCACATCCTCACAGAAGATCGGCTTGAAATAGCCTTTGATGACTGCCCAAGCCAGTTGCCCTATTCCTGTACCCCCCCTTTCCTGTCTTTCCCTTATTCCCACCCCTCCCTTTTCCTCGACTATCAAGGTTGGCAACGCATTCGCAACATCTTTGTTACGGTTTCATGTTTTTTTACATAAAATAATAATAATAATCAAGTTCTTTACACAATAAGATGTATTTAAAACAATATCATTACATTCAATACTCTTTAAGTGCTTCTGAGTACACGTTTAATGCTTATTTACAGAAGTAGCTTACGTGTTCAATGTCAACTTAATCGATATTATCCCTAAACCTATAATAAGTATTTTAAACTATTGATTTGGTATAAGTATTTTTCTTTGTAAATGTTATACTATGAATAAAATATAAGCATTAATAAAAAAATCTGTCAAATGTTTTAGCGTTCCCAAATATGTCTTTGTATGTTACAATTTGATTTAACTCGATTTTGTTTAAAAATGTTCAAATCTCTTTAATCTCAACGCTTACAATATGTGACACTTTCTGGTAGAGTAAATTAAATGTCATGACGTCTTTTCAATACTTTTCGTTCAATATAAACGTAAACAAATAAAAACGTTGACATTGGGAATACATTTTACGTATATATATCTTTCTTTATTTACGAATGTTATCTACGAATCTTAGAAGAATTTAAAATATGTAACTGACTCAAGTAGTTTGTAAAATGGCAGGAGATTAAAGTTTAACAGAACCTTTAAAAATCTGAGTTTTAATATTCTCACATTTAACTACGTTATACCCACTGATAGAAATAATATATCTTCTTCTCCTACCTGGCAATTTCCCAGCTATAGCCAGGGTCTGCCTTACATGTTGTGAATAGTTTTTGGCTATTTGTTTTTACGACCGGCCGCCTGCCTGACATCAACCCACTTTTTTGGAAATCAACATTAATCAGTGATGTCTAAATACTCTTAGAAAGTTCATATGATTCGGAAAAATCACAGTGGTACTTGCCCGCCCGGGCCAGGATCGAACCAGCGCCCTCGGCAACGAGAGGCGGGCCCTTTAACCACTGAGCCACCACTGACTTGATAGAAATAATATATGTATGTAGAGTTTTAATAAATAAAATATTTTCTCATAAAAGTTTCTACAAACTATTTTATCTCTGATAACATGACTAAATAATATTTTAATTAACTTTAGAAAGATAAAAATTAAAGATAAAAAGAGCTCTAGAATGGCTTCTTTGCAATTAAAGCACATAAGTGTTTAATATATAATTAATATCAGGCTCGAGAGACTAATTAAATGCACTTAAGTAAAGTTAAATAATATTTCTCTAAAGAAAAGCTTATAACAGTCTATTATAACTCTGATGCAGCATTTGTTTAAAGTAATCCTTTGAGAATGTGCCATATACATTCATATATTTATAAATATTTTACTGTATGATAGATAGATTAATATCATTATTAATTATAATATGCTTCAATATTAAGAGTAACCTTATGTATTTATTATATAGAATACATATATTTCATGTACACATTAATTGAAGTTGAAAAGTAAGCCACACATCAAATGTCAATTGTCTTTTAATGAATATACTTGACTGTAAGGCACGTAATAAAGTAATTATATGCCAAAAATTCTTTACATCATTGTGTAAAACAGCAGATTTTACATTGATTGGCCAATATTAACCAAATATAGCTAGCAACCATATTATTAGCACTGGTTTTCAAACGAAAATCGCGGCTGAAAATCGCGGACCAAAATCGCGGACGAAAATCGCGGCTGAAAATCGCGGACGAAAATCGCGGACGAAAATCGCGGATGAAAATCGCGGATGAAAATCGCGGCTGAAAATCGCGGACCAAAATCGCGGACGAAAATCGCGGACGAAAATCGCGGATGAAAATCGCGGACCAAAATCGCGGACCAAAATCGCGGACCAAAATCGCGGATGAAAATCGCGGCTGAAAATCGCGGACCAAAATCGCGGCTGAAAATCGCGGACCAAAATCGCGGACCAAAATCGCGGACCAAAATCGCGGCTGAAAATCGCGGACCAAAATCGCGGACGAAAATCGCGGACGAAAATCGCGGATGAAAATCGCGGACCAAAATCGCGGACCAAAATCGCGGACCAAAATCGCGGATGAAAATCGCGGCTGAAAATCGCGGACCAAAATCGCGGCTGAAAATCGCGGACCAAAATCGCGGACCAAAATCGCGGACCAAAATCGCGGATGAAAATCGCGGACCAAAATCGCGGACGAAAATCGCGGACGAAAATCGCGGATGAAAATCGCGGACCAAAATCGCGGACCAAAATCGCGGACCAAAATCGCGGCTGAAAATCGCGGACCAAAATCGCGGACGAAAATCGCGGACCAAAATCGCGGACGAAAATCGCGGATGAAAATCGCGGATGAAAATCGCGGACCAAAATCGCGGCTGAAAATCGCGGACCAAAATCGCGGACGAAAATCGCGGATGAAAATCGCGGACCAAAATCGCGGACCAAAATCGCGGACCAAAATCGCGGACCAAAATCGCGGACCAAAATCGCGGACCAAAATCGCGGACCAAAATCGCGGATGAAAATCGCGGCTGAAAATAAAAACGTTGACATTGGGAATACATTTTACGTATATATATCTTTCTTTATTTACGAATGTTATCTACGAATCTTAGAAGAATTTAAAATATGTAACTGACTCAAGTAGTTTGTAAAATGGCAGGAGATTAAAGTTTAACAGAACCTTTAAAAATCTGAGTTTTAATATTCTCACATTTAACTACGTTATACCCACTGATAGAAATAATATATCTTCTTCTCCTACCTGGCAATTTCCCAGCTATAGCCAGGGTCTGCCTTACATGTTGTGAATAGTTTTTGGCTATTTGTTTTTACGACCGGCCGCCTGCCTGACATCAACCCACTTTTTTGGAAATCAACATTAATCAGTGATGTCTAAATACTCTTAGAAAGTTCATATGATTCGGAAAAATCACAGTGGTACTTGCCCGCCCGGGCCAGGATCGAACCAGCGCCCTCGGCAACGAGAGGCGGGCCCTTTAACCACTGAGCCACCACTGACTTGATAGAAATAATATATGTATGTAGAGTTTTAATAAATAAAATATTTTCTCATAAAAGTTTCTACAAACTATTTTATCTCTGATAACATGACTAAATAATATTTTAATTAACTTTAGAAAGATAAAAATTAAAGATAAAAAGAGCTCTAGAATGGCTTCTTTGCAATTAAAGCACATAAGTGTTTAATATATAATTAATATCAGGCTCGAGAGACTAATTAAATGCACTTAAGTAAAGTTAAATAATATTTCTCTAAAGAAAAGCTTATAACAGTCTATTATAACTCTGATGCAGCATTTGTTTAAAGTAATCCTTTGAGAATGTGCCATATACATTCATATATTTATAAATATTTTACTGTATGATAGATAGATTAATATCATTATTAATTATAATATGCTTCAATATTAAGAGTAACCTTATGTATTTATTATATAGAATACATATATTTCATGTACACATTAATTGAAGTTGAAAAGTAAGCCACACATCAAATGTCAATTGTCTTTTAATGAATATACTTGACTGTAAGGCACGTAATAAAGTAATTATATGCCAAAAATTCTTTACATCATTGTGTAAAACAGCAGATTTTACATTGATTGGCCAATATTAACCAAATATAGCTAGCAACCATATTATTAGCACTGGTTTTCAAACGAAAATCGCGGCTGAAAATCGCGGACCAAAATCGCGGACGAAAATCGCGGCTGAAAATCGCGGACGAAAATCGCGGACGAAAATCGCGGATGAAAATCGCGGATGAAAATCGCGGCTGAAAATCGCGGCTGAAAATCGCGGACCAAAATCGCGGACGAAAATCGCGGACGAAAATCGCGGATGAAAATCGCGGACCAAAATCGCGGACCAAAATCGCGGACCAAAATCGCGGATGAAAATCGCGGCTGAAAATCGCGGACCAAAATCGCGGCTGAAAATCGCGGACCAAAATCGCGGACCAAAATCGCGGACCAAAATCGCGGCTGAAAATCGCGGACCAAAATCGCGGACGAAAATCGCGGACGAAAATCGCGGATGAAAATCGCGGACCAAAATCGCGGACCAAAATCGCGGACCAAAATCGCGGCTGAAAATCGCGGACCAAAATCGCGGACGAAAATCGCGGACCAAAATCGCGGATGAAAATCGCGGACCAAAATCGCGGCTGAAAATCGCGGACCAAAATCGCGGACGAAAATCGCGGATGAAAATCGCGGACCAAAATCGCGGACCAAAATCGCGGACCAAAATCGCGGACCAAAATCGCGGACCAAAATCGCGGACCAAAATCGCGGACCAAAATCGCGGATGAAAATCGCGGCTGAAAATAAAAACGTTGACATTGGGAATACATTTTACGTATATATATCTTTCTTTATTTACGAATGTTATCTACGAATCTTAGAAGAATTTAAAATATGTAACTGACTCAAGTAGTTTGTAAAATGGCAGGAGATTAAAGTTTAACAGAACCTTTAAAAATCTGAGTTTTAATATTCTCACATTTAACTACGTTATACCCACTGATAGAAATAATATATCTTCTTCTCCTACCTGGCAATTTCCCAGCTATAGCCAGGGTCTGCCTTACATGTTGTGAATAGTTTTTGGCTATTTGTTTTTACGACCGGCCGCCTGCCTGACATCAACCCACTTTTTTGGAAATCAACATTAATCAGTGATGTCTAAATACTCTTAGAAAGTTCATATGATTCGGAAAAATCACAGTGGTACTTGCCCGCCCGGGCCAGGATCGAACCAGCGCCCTCGGCAACGAGAGGCGGGCCCTTTAACCACTGAGCCACCACTGACTTGATAGAAATAATATATGTATGTAGAGTTTTAATAAATAAAATATTTTCTCATAAAAGTTTCTACAAACTATTTTATCTCTGATAACATGACTAAATAATATTTTAATTAACTTTAGAAAGATAAAAATTAAAGATAAAAAGAGCTCTAGAATGGCTTCTTTGCAATTAAAGCACATAAGTGTTTAATATATAATTAATATCAGGCTCGAGAGACTAATTAAATGCACTTAAGTAAAGTTAAATAATATTTCTCTAAAGAAAAGCTTATAACAGTCTATTATAACTCTGATGCAGCATTTGTTTAAAGTAATCCTTTGAGAATGTGCCATATACATTCATATATTTATAAATATTTTACTGTATGATAGATAGATTAATATCATTATTAATTATAATATGCTTCAATATTAAGAGTAACCTTATGTATTTATTATATAGAATACATATATTTCATGTACACATTAATTGAAGTTGAAAAGTAAGCCACACATCAAATGTCAATTGTCTTTTAATGAATATACTTGACTGTAAGGCACGTAATAAAGTAATTATATGCCAAAAATTCTTTACATCATTGTGTAAAACAGCAGATTTTACATTGATTGGCCAATATTAACCAAATATAGCTAGCAACCATATTATTAGCACTGGTTTTCAAACGAAAATCGCGGACCAAAATCGCGGACCAAAATCGCGGACGAAAATCGCGGATGAAAATCGCGGCTGAAAATCGCGGACCAAAATCGCGGACGAAAATCGCGGACGAAAATCGCGGATGAAAATCGCGGACCAAAATCGCGGATGAAAATCGCGGCTGAAAATCGCGGACCAAAATCGCGGACGAAAATCGCGGACGAAAATCGCGGATGAAAATCGCGGACCAAAATCGCGGACGAAAATCGCGGACGAAAATCGCGGATGAAAATCGCGGATGAAAATCGCGGCTGAAAATCGCGGACCAAAATCGCGGACGAAAATCGCGGACCAAAATCGCGGACCAAAATCGCGGACCAAAATCGCGGCTGAAAATCGCGGACCAAAATCGCGGACGAAAATCGCGGATGAAAATCGCGGCTGAAAATCGCGGACCAAAATCGCGGACCAAAATCGCGGACGAAAATCGCGGATGAAAATCGCGGCTGAAAATCGCGGATGAAAATCGCGGACCAAAATCGCGGACGAAAATCGCGGACGAAAATCGCGGATGAAAATCGCGGACCAAAATCGCGGATGAAAATCGCGGCTGAAAATCGCGGACCAAAATCGCGGACGAAAATCGCGGACGAAAATCGCGGATGAAAATCGCGGACGAAAATCGCGGATGAAAATCGCGGCTGAAAATCGCGGACGAAAATCGCGGACGAAAATCGCGGACGAAAATCGCGGCTGAAAATCGCGGACGAAAATCGCGGACGAAAATCGCGGACGAAAATCGCGGCTGAAAATCGCGGACGAAAATCGCGGGCAAAAGCACACACACATCTATGTATATGAAAGCTAATTCATATATTAAAAAGTAGAACACATACATATATAGGATCGTAAACAATATTTTTCTTTTATATTATTTATTTATAGCTCAATGTTAAAATTTATTTTAGGCAATTGATGACGAATACAATAGGTATAAATAAGGCCTATAACAAATTGGAACTTTATATCTGTAAATACATCTACATATTTTACTTTCGAGTGTTGACAAGTGTGAATCGAGCCTTAATTTACCTTCAAATTGTGAAAGAAGTGCTGTGTCCTATGTACTACTGACAGCGGAGTGTGATGATGAGCGGACCTCGCACGCGGTGGAACTGCTTGTATTGGTGACGAACATGATAACTCCGAAGCTGACTTTGATAACCGTCCGCTGAGTGCTTCGGACCGCTCTGAAACATTGATAAAAAACGTTATAGTAATTAAATTTAAGAATCACGAGTATTTATACAGGGTGACTGGTGAATTACTATCAATATTTAAGGAGCATACTCGGTCCATGATTCTCATTCGAATTATGTAAAAAAAATAGGTACTTAATTTTTGACCAAATTTCCGTATAAATAAATAAAGTGTGTACACGTTCCAAGTGTTCCAAGTGTGGACGCGTGCGGCGGCGTGCTGATACAACAACACGCCGCCGCGCGCGTATGTGTGAGTGTGTGTGTATATCTAATCTGTAGGGTGTTCATACGATGCGTAATTAATTACATAACTTTTGGTTAACTTTACTTAGAAGTTTATTAATATTTATGTTATATTAATTTTTATTTCGTCATATATGATCGTCAAATATCACGTCCTCCAATATCGATAGTAATTCACCAGTCACCCTGTATAAATGAAACTAATATTATTCGAATTACGACGACCCGCGACGTTTCGGTTACTTTGTAGCAACCGTGATCACGAATATTCGAGATGAATTTGTCGGGAGTATGTCATCATCATCAGCCTATCAGAGCCCACTGCTGAGCAACGGCCTCTTCTCACATGGAGAAGGTTTGAGCGTTATGGCGGGAGTATTTAGTTTTGAAAAATAATAAAATAGGAATGGTAATCTGAAAATATTAATTTCTTTTAAACGTTATAATAAGATGATATCTCTGTTCAGGTATGAGGGTTTAAATATATTATATATAGAATTCTTAATTCACCGACTCTGGTCCCGATAGCTTAGTTGGAAAAGTAACTGGATTGAGATATTCCGTAGATCGCAACTTCGAAATCTCCTCAAATTATGAATTTTTTATTCTAAATAAAGTTATTCGAATTTTAATTTTGTGACAACTACATATCTTAATAGATTGAATAATATTAGTTTAATATCTTAAACATATAGATAAATATGTATAATTCTTAATAAAGATTTTCTCAGTTGGAAATATCGAGATAAAAAAACAGTGAAAAATGTAATAGATACCTTTAATTCACAATATTGTAATATGCTCGTTACGGTGGTAATGCTAAGACCCAGTTTCACCAATCAATGTTTGTTTAATCTAAACACAGTATTTACTAACCAACCTACAAAATATAAATGTCTGTTAAAATATTTACGTCCCACGATGACAAATTAACAACGCATTATTAAACGTCATGTCAAATGACCGACTACCAAATTATTCGTTCTTGTTATAAGACAACCAAATGGAAACTCTAGCGTTTAACACGGCACGTTTGCCACGATGCACCACTTTATACTTTGATCGTATATATCCCTCGATACGTCACTTGTTAGGTAATGCGACCAAATTTTATATATCGTTGGTTGCATACATTTGGCACACAAAAAGCTTTCTTTTCAATTGACTAGGTGTAATCTGTCAAAATCGAGTTGTCAATAAATTGTGTTATATATTATTATGTTATAAATATAGGCATAAATTTTTTTCAAATCATAAGCGATAAAAAGAAAATTTAATTTGCAATGTCATAAAAAAGCTAAAAAATCATCATAGGAAATAAATTTTAATTCACTTTATTAATAAGTACAAGGAAATAGTCGAAACTGACAAAACAGATGACGTTACTATGGTTACAAGAAATCAGGGCTGTGATTGGACAATTGAGTTTCAACAATTCATTAACAGTCATGTTTGCTATTAGACGGAGCTCCAGAGCAGGAATTAATATTAGAGGCTTGTTAAGACATTTAAACGGACATTTGTGCGTGGTGGGACGCTCGATACATCTAACAGAGCATCAAACGCCTTAACACGATGTTATAAATTAACATTGATTAGTGAAACTGGGTCTAAATATTGTAATAGTTTAAGTTAAAAATATTGGTACATTTTTGTTAATTTATGTTGTGAATTTTGTACTGAAATAAATTTATTGTTTAAAGATATTAGTACATAAAGTGACTGTAATTAAATGAAAACTTTGGTAACAATTCTAAAAATACATATATTAATGATCATTTAGATCGAAAGTTATTTATGCTTAAAGAATAAAATGAAAAACTTTTACCATGTATAAAAATAAATTCGAAGAAACTCGAAGTTTTAAAGAAATGTTCTAAGAATAAATTCTTCATATTATCTTTGAACAGTGAAGGAAAGTTTCTTGCTTTTTACTGTTATTCTAATTCTGTTTATACAATTACTCCATGAGATTATGTTTGTTGAACAAATTTATAATGAGAACTATATTACAATATAATATATATTTTTTCTATCATAAAACATATAAATGAAATAATATTATTCACAGTTCTAATGTTAACTCTATCAATAATAACTCTCGCAATTTTATATATCGTAGCCAAATGTCATAATACACATTAAGCTATAAAAAACGTTACTGATTAATATTTAACCAATAGTGGTATGATTTGTATGAGTTTCCCTTCTGGCTTTCGAAGCTATACATATAAAATATTCCTAAATATTTAAAAAGGTATCTCCCAATGAATATTGAAACGCGCTTCAAAATGACATTGCTATAAATTTTATTCAAATTAAGTTATTATTTTGAACCAGTATATAAGAAGGAAGAATTTTTATATAAAGAACATTAAACTCATTAATTATTATTATTTATTATATATAGAGCTTGCACTAATTTCGGTCACAAAATGCGACATACGCAGTGATATGGGAAAGCGTACGATTGACAAGATGCACATGAGATATTTAAGATCATATAAATCTCGAGATATCAAATTTTGTATAACTTAATTAATATAAAACAAAAATTTAATTACATTTAATATTGTAACAATGTAAGTTGGATCTTAAAAAGTAAATTAATTTTGATTATTATTGTGTATGTTCCTCATTGTTATTTTTACCGTTTAAAGAAAATGGTGTATATTTTAAATAATATTTTTTTTATAAGTCGCGATATCCGAGGATCTATCATAGTATATTATATCGTGTGCGTTAGGAATAAACTGTCGCGAGAGATAAGATTATGTAATTGTGACATTGAATTAATCCAGAATGAATTAGATTGACATGAATTTATCTTTCCCGTCCTATAATTCAGACACCATAATAAGACTAACATATGTGGCAAAACGTAATAGCAAATAGTCTCAGTTTTGACGAGTAGATGAGCAAATAGTCTCAGTTTTGACGAGAAATATGCAAGAAATGGAATTTGGGTATGAATGTTTTTTGGTCAAATCTCAAGATCATATTAATACTAATACACATAAATATTCTGTAAATCTCGACTTCGTCAGGAACTATTTTATCTTTAGATAGAATATCTTAAGTCTGGTTTCTTAATTAGGGTCCTACAATTATCTTGTTTAGGCTTTGAGGCCGGTGTTATTGTACTTGTTTTTGCCTTAAAGGGATCTTTACGAAATTTGTTCTTTCTTGAGACGAAAAATTTGCTTATGAAATTGTGGGTTACTAGAAATGGCTGTTATAATTTAAAATGTTAGGAAATATATACGTCAGTGGCTGCCGTTATTCATAAAATCTTAGAATATCGTTCAAAGAATTTTCAAATAGAATTTTGTTTCAAAAGAATTCTCTAAATTTTAATGATTTGAAATGTTTGATATTGAAACCGGTTTTAGTAAAGGTGTTTATTGATAGAGGATATTTAAAATAAGTATTTTGTTATCAATGAAGACTTCTTTAGTTTTTTGATTATTGTTAAAGACATTTATGCAATCCTTCAAACAATGCATACATATTACCTCAAATATACAATAATATAAAGCTTTATTTCCCACTTAATATTATCCATTTGTTTCCCGAAATTTCATTAGGATGATTGGATATAAAATGATTTACGATATTAGGCGTTATTTTCTCTGTGTGATTTTGGTAATGGTTCTACATTTATAGAACTTATTTAGGTCTGAATGCCATGGTACTCGCATATAAATGACTAATATTAGAAACACTATTGTGAGTAAAAATTATAGTATAATTAGTTACTCACCACGTGTATATAAAATGGGTACAAAATATATTTTGACATACATGATGGTACACAACAATTAGATTTTATCGCTTAAATTAGTCATAAAATTAACAGGCCTTTGTCTATTCCTTAAAATGGTTGTCATATATTCAAGTATTAATTCTTTACAGAGGATTGAGTCATAGAATAGCAATTATTATTAAAAATTAATAGGTTGATGAGAATTTATAATCCAGTAAGAACTTTTAAGTTTAATTGTATGTTACGAAAATAACATAATTCACACTGTACGAAGTCATAGAATATAAATTGCAGAACCTCACTCCGAATGTCATGCTTATGAATTTGAATTATTAATATACATATAATGTGTCTAGACCTATAATAATAAAATTAAATAACAGTTCTGACGATTTTTACTCTATGACCATTGTTCGTAATTAGTGACGTAGTTTTACATATAATGAATACTTTAATTTTTTTATATACATGTAAAGAAAATTTCTTTGCCGTGTTTTATTTATCTGAGACTGTATCGCCATTGGTTTATTGTATTATCTGTGTTAATTATTGGCAGATTTTCTGCTGTTGTATGTTTGTAATATTAAAATTTGTGAAATAATAAACTTTATATGTCGTTTCTTTGTCTACAGAGCAACACATTGATGTCTTTTATTTCACAATCGAAGATATAAGATACATTTTCACCTATATGTATAAGCTTATATACATGTAGGTGAAAATGTTGTTATAATAAATTGATATATATTTCTATAAAGAATTGTGAACTATCATAGTTTGATTTTACGAAATTACGCGTGGTTGATTACATCAATAGTATTTGTAGAATAAGGATAAGGATTTTAGGATTATATTATTAGAAAATATTTGGTGTTAACTTATTGAATAGGGAATTGCTAAAATGTTTGTTGTCATTTATGATTTTATAGTTACATATTATTGTTATTATATTAAGATATGGTCATTATTAATTTAAATAACTGTAAATTAAGCTTTATCCTTGTATCTGTTTTTGTATTAGGGACTAAATTAAAAGTTAACGAAAAATATGCTTATATATATATATATATATATATATATATATATATATATATATATATATATATATATATATATATATATATATATATCTTCAAGATAAAACAAAACTGATAAGTCCTTGATTAAAAACCAGTCACTAAACCATTTTAATTGGATTTTCATTTAGCTCAGTAATATAATTACTTCTCCGCAATCCTAATTAGGAACATTTTGAAATTCTCGAACAAGAAAATAAAGCGAAATAAGCGAAACCTTTAGCTTTAGGAAATTAAATGATTTTTGTAGGAATTTGTATGAAATATTAACACCGGGTAACTGATACTTCAATTAAAATAAATTATAACAAAATTTAATAATATTCATATTGTTATTATAATAAAATATTATTTATCCGGCTCGAAGGACCAAAACGATGTATGGGTTTGATACCACACACCATTTAGATTTAATAGTTTATGGAGACCAGCTAGTTTGTGAGTATCGCGTCTAGGTAATGAGAACGACCTGTTTATTTGAACGCTTTATTGATACTGACTAAATTATGACAATGCTTACATTTATATTTGCTTATGAATGTGTACGTACAATGAAATTATGTTAATGTATGGGTGAACCCATACATACTTATATCATGCTATATGGTAACATTTGATTCAAAAACATGCCATAATATTCTGAAACAAAAATCAAATATATTTAAATGGAATATGCTTTTATTGGTCATACGCGACAGTTTACAAAGAATATAGGTATTTCATAATTTTTTTTGAAGCGAAATGTATGAAGGTTGATTTTAAATTTTTCCGTAGTTTAATAAAAGAGAGTAACATATGACAATAGATCCGAACGGAAAATAAGTTAAAATTGAATATGACGAAGATGACTATATAGTCAAAAGTCGAATATGCTATTACTAGCAAAAGTCGCGTGAAATCTCATATATTATTATTATTATTATTTATTTCAGTCACATTGAAATCGTGGAATATTTAAGACAATGCCAAAGTTTTTGTTTGTTGGACAAATTATAATCTTGAGTACAGTGTGATGAAAACACGAAAGATTTTCTCGAATGGAATAAAGGCGTTTATTTAATTATTATTGTTATTTTTTTAAAGATGATTGTAATTATATTTTTACCAGCACCTAGAACAACAATATACCCAATATGAAATCAAATAATGTATATGAATTAAATAAAGTAGTAATAAGTAATTTAAGTAAATGCATAATCAATAAATCGATATTAAATGCTACGTCATTTGACGAAGATAATTGTAGGCTGCAATAAAATAATTATAGCTTCGTATTACTAGAATTGGTGAAACCACAATTATATTAATTAATATGAGTTTTGTTTCATTTGAATTGTACATTTATATTGGGTTTTGTCCGCGGAAACTTTCCCTATATACGCGATACAAAATTAGAACAATTAGTCGTTTGAACTAAGAAATTCCTGGTTCTGTATATAAAATAAACAAAATTATCCATTCTAACATTTTTGATAATATTATTTCATATAAAAATACAATTCTTATAGTTTTCGGGAATCTCTAGTCTGACTTCGAGACTGCCAAATTGTTTAGAGTCTTACATTTTTTCTTTGTCAAGTCATAATTGACTTGCTTAATATAAGTTTAAAAAATATCACCGAAATATTTTGGCGATTTAAATAACGAAAAGTACATTTTTGAAATCATTTCGAAAGTTAAGTTGTATGTCTTATAAGAAACTAGTTGTTCTGACTAACACAAAGAGTATTTCACAATGCGATACTTGTTTCTACTTTACGAAGAACGAGATCATATTAGAGTAAGATCCCAGAGAATTCTGACATAAGTTATTTCACATGGATGAAACCTTCTTCATAGATTAGTGATAGCCTAGTCGTTAAAAGGCCCGCCTCTCGTGCACGAGGGCGCGAGTTCGACCCTGGCAAGTACCAATGTGATTTTTAGAGTCATATGTACTTTCTAAGAGTATTAAGACACCACAGACAGACGGTGAAGGAAAACATCGTAAGGAAACCTGGACTTATGATTTCACAATTATAAGTTTGAAATCACCAACCCGTCTTGAGTGAGTGTGGTGATTAATGCTCAAATCTTCACCATGTGATAAGAGGCCTTTGCTCAGCAGTGGGTTCTGATAGGGTGATGACAAAACCTTTACGACTTAGTAGCGTCTAGTATACTTTAAATACCTACCTACTTGTGGAGCTTGCCCTGTGACACTTGTGAGAAATTATATGGAGTACTTATTATTATCATCTTTCATATGGTATTTTTTATAGTCAGATCAAAACAAATTATCGACTTTCGTCTGATGTTTTTTGGTTTTAGATTTTAGAGTAAAAATATAGTGTCACTTGTATACTTACAATATTAGTTCGTCATCGTCATCAGCCTATCAACGCCCACTGCCGAGCAAAGGCCTCTTTCTCACATGGAGAAGGTTTGAGCATTAATCACCACGCTTGCTCAGGACGGGTTAGTGATTTCAAACTTATAATTGTGAAACTATATGTACAGGTATCCTCACGATGTTTTCCTTTACCGTAGGTCAGTGGTGTCTAAATAATCTCAGAAAGTACATATGACTCCGAAAAATCACATTGGTACTTGCCAGGTTTGAACCCGCGCCCTCGGCAACGAGAGGCGGACCCTTTAACCACTAGGCCACCACTGACTATTAGTTATTGTTCATAATTTACAAGATTATTGAAAGCATGTTTCATTTATTAAATAGAGCTCTATAATGTTAAAGGTTTAAAGAAAAAGGTGGTTTATTTCTCGTCAGCTTTTCTAAATAGAATTTAATATTGAGAAGATGATTATCTTACTAAGTAATTATCTTTATGACTGATTACTTTGATATCAATATAATTTGTGATTTTCTTTGAACCTTTAAGTATATCAATATACCGTACTTAATCTTGGTTAATAGAATTTTAAACTTGTAGAGTGAGTTATAAATAAATAAGTCAGTAATCAAGCTTGGCATATTTCAAAATAAAATTGTATATTCGTTACTTTGTATGGAGTTGAAATACGTCTTAAATGAATTTATATTCATTTGAGATTTAAATCCGCTCATAATTATAAAAGTGTGATACTTAATTTTTATGACGCAAAGATCTGACAAGTTCATTGTCAGAAGGATAACTTCTCTTTTTGATTTCTCAGGAAACACAAGATGGCAAATGCTACACATAGAAGATTTTTGCAACCCATTAGCACTTAAATAGGGCACTTCAATTGATGGTTGGACGACAGCATTGCAAAAAAATTTATCTCTTTGTGTTCAGGACGACTCTTTCAGTTCACAGTAATTTAGTAAAATAGGGTAAAGGCACCGAAAAATCTTGCTACTTTTTCGGGGAGGCCGTTGGAACTCCTAAGTATTTCCTGGGGGTTGTAGTGTACTCCTGGACAGCTGTTAATACTCGCATCTTCATTATGCGGTTAATCTCTTGGAAGCCAGAGCTAAAACAGAAATTACTGCAAACAAGCGAGGAGCTTGTGCTAGGGAGGTGAACGTTTAACGCACCCTAGATAGGGTCCCTTAAACCTACACCTGAGTCGCAAGTCCCAGGCACTGTTGAAAGTCCTCTTACTACAACGATGGACCCGACACACGCACCGTGAATAAATTGAATGATGAAAAATTTCATCCCATATGATTGGAATTTCTATTTAAATAATTTAAAAAATTACTTATAACAAGAAGTAATATAATAATCAATGAAATTATTTGGAAATACAACGTTTAAAGTTCCATGTAAAATTATCAGATTAATATACTATGTATATTAAATGTATTATTATAAAAATAGCTTACACAATATGCGAATACAAAAAGCACTTCAGTACTTCTTATCAAGTTGTCGTTTCCTTCTGTCTTTTCGTTTATAAAGTCAGGATTTATTTGTATAAAATCTAAAACCTTTATATAAAACGAAAATTTATACTATTGACCTTTTAAATTTAAATATAA